AACGCATCTGGTTACAGAGGTTCAGATGGACAGCAAGAATGACTTCCAAGTTCTGTAACTCAATAGGACAACTCTGTTTCACACCAATTAATTCACAAGAGCTAGCAGAAACATCTATGTCCTTCTACAGACCAGAATTTCCCCTTCCCTCTGTTGACATGATGTATGATTTTATTCTATTTTCTCCAGATGGTCCTGATGTCGAGATCATATTCCCCTCAAATATTTATATCCATTGAAGGACAAACCTCACATCTCCTGCCTTGGTTTGTCAATGGAGAGCTCCAGTCACTCCCCCCAAGAACTCTATAATCCCAACATCAATACTAATAAGAGTAGATCTTATACCTGCCTGGTCTATAACTGTCACTATCCTCAATGAGACCACAACCAAGAACATTACAATTCTTAGTAAGTGGATCTCTAAAATATCAGCACCAGGTTGGTTAGGAGCAGAGTCTTTCGGCTTTCTGGGAAGGTGCAGATGCATTTGATTCCCAGCCCAGGGCTATGGAAACTAGCAAAACACAGTCTTCCTTCAAGCCTCCTGCTCCATCCCTATGTTTAATGGCTTCCTGGTTCTCTGTTTTTTTGGCCTATAGGGATGAAACTTACAGTGTGAGGAGGAGGTTTTCCCAACCTTGGAAAGTCATCAGTTATGTGAGGGACTTTCCATGGTTAGGAGAGCCTCAAGGTCAAGATTTTTTTCTGTGCCTAACACAAGCTTTCCTGTCCCCTCCACTTTCATTTTATGATCTCTATGACCTACAAGGCACAACAAGGGCTTTCAACTGTGCTCACATTCTTATTCTCCAAATTGGGGGAAATATTCCACACAGATGGGGACTACACCTCTGCTCCCAGGTCTGTTCCTGTCTCATGGGTGTGGTGGCAGGCTCAATTCTGACTCCATGGGATGGAAAGAATAGGTTGAGAAGGCCTGGGAGCCCTGTTCTGAGTCAGGGTGAACTATGTCTCTCACATTTGATGATGCCCTTTTGCTTACTCTTCTCAAGTTTCAAAAAACAAATGTCGGCTGAGCATGGCTCTACACACCTTTGATGCCAACACTGAGGAGGAAGAGGCACGTAGATAGTGTGACTCTTAGGCAGCCTGGTCTACATAGCAAGTTCCAAGCAAGCTAGGAGAGTACAGTTAGATCCAGTCCCAAAAAATATTAGTATTGAGCATTAGAGTGGCAGGCTGTGGTCAGCACTGTGATTATTCACTTCTTCTCTGTAGTATTCAATTCATATCCATGGGGCAGGAAATACAATTTTTCTACATCAGAAATTCTTCAGTTAAGGATTTCTCCCAGTCCTGATGTCTAGCCTTTAACACCTTTAAGTTTAGCTAGGCCATCTTAACCCTATGACTAATTTTTTTTAATAAAAATTAAAATGCTATTTCATAAAGGCAGGATCTGACTGTTCACACTCAGAGAAAATATGAGCAAGAATTTGCACAAATATCATTGGGAAATATATTCCTCCCACCCCCACCCCCGAGTTTTCTGGACATGTGGGCTGAAGAGGCTCGCAGTATGGAATCTATACAAATACCCTGAGTTTGGGTCACTTTGAGTCATCTTGATAGGAGTAAGATTCAGCTCTTTCTTCATAGACTATATCTTGAACATGTGACCTTGCAGAGGGCCTCTTCATTGTATGGGCCCTGGGAGCTGGCTGGGATCTCTGAGGGTGAAGGACTCTAAGCTGCTCCCCTCCACTGTTTATCCACAGATCCAGTGACTAAACCCTCCATTCAATTCACCAACACCACGGTCAACGGTGTGACCTCTGTGCTCCTGAACTGCTTGACAAACGACACTGGGATCTCAATCCATTGGCTTTTCAAAGGCCAGAGTCTGAGGATCACGAATAGGACGAGGCTGTCCCCGAACAACAGCACCCTGGAAATAATCCCTGCCAGGGGTTCAGATTCTGGGGACTACCAGTGTGAAGTATCCAATCAAGTCAGTTCCCAGAGGAGTGACCCCATGCAGGTCAACATAATAGGTGAGTGACATCTCATCTCTTGTTACTCCTTAGTGTTGTGGGTGGGGGCAGTTTCTTAATAGATAAAGAAGCACAATTGGCTCAGTCTGGGAGGAAGGGACTAGACCTGCCTGGACTGAGTCTACCAGGTTGATCCCAGTCCTCGGGGAGGGTTTGCCCTGGAGGAGGTGGGAATGGGGGGGGGCTGAGGGTAAGGGGAGGGGTTGGGAGGGGGGAGAATAGGGGAACCCGTGGCTGATATGTAGAACTGAATGGTATTGTAAAATAAAACAAAATAAATTAAAAAATAAAGAGAAAAAAAAAAAGAAGCAGAAGGATAGCCCAGATTACATTGTGAGACCTGGACAATAATAAAAACAATAGATGTTAACATAGCAAATAGAAATGCAAAGTGATTAAGAGTTTAGCGTCTGAGTCAGACACACAGACCATCCTCAGAATCTACTAAAATATTCATGTTATGCTACATCCCATACCACAATCAAATTTTCTTTATATTATTTCCAATACTTAATATGAATACTGCATAGACCATAGTCTTATTCTGTTGAATACAGGACAAAGATGGGAGGAAACAAAACACTTTTCATTCTAGACATACTTTTCCAAGTAGTTTGTTTCCAAGGTTTTGATCCATAAATATAAAATCCATAGATAGAAAGGACCTGTATTGAGTTTCTTACTACGTTTGCATATTTATTCATTTTGTATGGGTGTTCCCCTGTAATGAGTGGAGGTCATAGGACAATTTGTGGGGGCCAGTTCTCTGGGGACAGAGAATTGAACTAATGTAGGTGAGTAAACCCTTTATCTGGTAAGCCATTTCACTGGCCCACATTGTTTGTGCATTTTTATCTATCTGTGTGGCAGTTGGGGGTAGGTACTGGGAAGGACTATGGCAGGCACTCTTCCCAACTAAGCCATTTTGGTGGCCCATATATTGAGTTTCTTACCCTCATGGTCCTTGCATAAGACTTTTTTTCTGATATCTGTTTTTTTGTTGTGTGTAGTAGTAGTAGTAGTAGTAGTAGTAGTAGTAGTAGTAGTAGTAGTAGTTGTGTGTGTGTGTGTGTGTGTGTGTGTGTGTGTGTGTGTGTATTTGATTCTTAACTATTGAGCTATCTCTCCAGTCCCATAAACCAAATGCATGGGGAGGTTAGCTCAATAGTTAAGAGCCCTAGCAGCTCTTCCAAAGGACAGGAATTCAATTTCCATCACCCACATGGCAGCCTATTACTGTCTGTAACTGAAGTTCCAACACCCTCTTCTGTCCTCCTCATGTATAAAACATGCATGTTCTACAGAGACATATAAGCAGCCAAAACGCCCATATGATGCTTCTGCCATCATAACAAAGACATCATTTGAAATCCAATTTCAAGGTGCTTTCATCCTGTCTCCTAAAAGTCTGATGACTTTCAGCTCTGATCCATTTTAGGTCTTTGATCCATGTAGAGTTGATTAGTATATACTGTTAGGTGAAGACTTAACTTCATTCTTTTACATGGATATCACATCTTCCTAACATCCCTTGTTTAACTGAGTTTTCTTCCAACATTGTGCAGTCTCAGCAGCCTGATCAAAACGCATCTGGTTACAGAGGTTCAGATGGACAGCAAGAATGACTTCCAAGTTCTGTAACTCAATAGGACAACTCTGTTTCACACCAATTAATTCAAAAGAGCCAGCAGAAATGTATTGTTAGACCCCAGAGTTTATGGTCTCAAGTGGGCACCTCAAGAACCCAGACTCCAGTCCAGTTGATGCAACAGCTCGAGGTTTTTATTGAAGCGACTATACAGACAGGCAAACTCTGCTCCTAAGAGCAAGAGTCGCATCTTACTGCAGCTCCATGGGGGCTTTAAAAGGAAAAACCCACAAAAGCCATAAGCTTACAATTCCCATACAATTTCGTTTCACAAGATCATGGTCTGATCACAGAGTGGGTACAGGAGTGTCCCCATGTACATTCTTCATGAAACCTCAAGGAGGGTATCAGGGTGGGAGTGGAGGTTACACAAAGGTCACAGTGGTCCTTCCTGGAACACCTGCAATTATCCCAGTCACAGTTGAGCACATCTCTTAACAGAAATCTTTTCACATTGTTACATTGTTACAGGGGTGGTTGAAGAATGGCTGAGTCAGCTTGCTCTTGGAACTAGATTTTTAGCTTCTCATTTCCCTGGGCTTGAGGGGGTGTAAGCCTGTAGGGTTAGGGTATTTCAGTCTATTTTTATGAAACATAAAAAGTGACAGATGAAATGCTGCATATGTCAACTGTGCATATCTGACACACATTATAATATATACACAAAAGTGTGCCCCATAAATACACATATTGATCATGTCAACTAATCTTTAATTTAATCATGGCCAGTGTGCATGAGCAGTTCTGGGCTTTCCAATTCTATATTACTGATCTGTATGTCTGCCTTTATGTCAGTAGTAGACTATTTTAATTGTTGCAGCTTTGTATTAAAATTGAGAAATCATGTGGGATGACCTGCAATTTTATTCTTGTTTTTTTTTAAAGATAATTTTAAGGCCATTTATGATGGTGCTTGCCTCTATCCCCAGCTCTTTGGAGCAGAGACAAGTGGATCTCTGGCAGTTTGAGGCCAGCTTGATATATATAGTGAGTTTCAGGACAGCTAGAATGGACTTTGCCATTTCTGTGTAAAATGCCACTGGGGTTTTGATCTGATGTGCATAGAACTGATAGAGTACATTCAGGGATATTGTCATCTATTTAAAAAAAAGTCCCAGGTACTCAAGAAGTTGAGGCAGGAGTACCAAGTTCTAAAATTGCCTACTGCAACCATTTCAAGGTCAGCTTGATTAATTTAGTGACATCCTGTTTCTAAATAAATATTAGAAGGCAGAGCTTAGAGTATAGCTCAGTGGTAGTGCATTGCTTACCATGCACAAAGCCCTGGGTTCAATCCCAGTACTGCAGAACAACGTAATAATGAGATTAAGTCTTCCAACCCATCAACCCCAATGGCTGTCATTTCTTGTCTTCTTTCATCATCTCTTATTTGGTAGTTTTCTGAGTGCAAGTCTTTTATCTCCTTGGTGGATTTAATTGTAAGTATTTTATTCTTTTTGGTGCTTTCACAAATAAATATTTTCTTCATTTCCTTTCCAATTGTTTACTGTTATGGCTGGGACTATTGCTCAGGGGCTGAACACTTGCTGGGTATGCACGAGGCCCTAGGTTCAAGCTCCACTACTGCCAGGAAAAACAAAAACCCAATTGTTCATGGTCAATAATAGTATACAGAAATACAGCTCATTTGGGCATGTTCAATTCATTAGCCAACCAATTTAATAGTTTTGCTCATTTAGTTCTGAGATCTTTCTGTAGAATGTTCAGGATTTTCTATGAACAAGTTCCTGTCATCTCCAGATCTCTTTAGCACCTCATAATTGGGTACCTTCATTTCATTGTCTAGCCTAACGGCTCTGTTTCGCACTCCTAAGAGTCTCTTGAACAGAAGTGGTCATAGCAGCAACCTGTGTTCTTCTAGATCTTAAAGAGAAAGCTGTCAGTCTCCCCACTGAATATGATGTTGGCTGTGGGTTTCCATGTATGGCCTTTGTTACACTAAGCTGGACTTCCATCATGTTTCAGTGTTTTTATTATCAAAGTCTGTGAAATTTTGTCAATTTTTTTGTTGATTCAACCTTACTTGTTATATAGCAATTTAATTTTGTTTCTCTCATGATTCCACCTCTACAGAATCCAGGTTTGTAGGAATTTGTCAATTACATCTAGGCCACACAACAGTTAGCATATAACTACTGAGTGCTCTTGAAATTCTTCATATTCTTGAGAATGAATGGTGAGGTCTCAAATTGTATCCATGTGCTTTTTTCAAAGTTATTCTGGGAAAAGGTTGCTAATATTGTTAATCAGATTTGATGAACCAACTTTTGGTGCATCAACTTTCTTTGCAGTTGCTCTAGTCTCTGTTTTGTTCTTCTTCATCCTCATCTTTAGTTTTCTCCTTTCAGTAGCATGGGGGAACTTTTTGAGGGAAGGTTCTCAGTATATAACCCAGACTTGCTTCAAATTCACAATCCTCCTGCCTCAGCCTCTGATGCTAGGATGCTAGGTTATATAACATCTTTCACCTGCCTCATAGTAGTTTTTCAAAACTTAATATAATCAAGTAAACTTTTTTTTGCAAAATACCACACACAGAGGAAAAATGTTGCTGCAATTATTCCTACAACCAGTGTTAGCCTTGAAGCCAGGTAGCCAGATCTATCTTACCTGGCCACCTTCTCAGCTGATCTTGTTTTCAGACTGGAAGCCTCTGTGTCCTTATATCGGAATGGCTCTCAGCTGAACTGTGCTATTAGTAGCCTGTGAGCTTAAACAGCCATATATCTAGTTTCTGGTCCTCATGCCTTATATACCTTTCTGCTTTCTACCACCACTCCCTGGATTAAAGGCTCACTTTCTGGGATTAAAGGTGTGTGTCACCATGCCTGACCATTTCCAATGTGTCCTTGAACTCACAGAGATCCAGAGGGATTTCTTCTTCTGGAGTACTAGGATTAAAGGTGTGAGTGCCACCATGTTAATCAGCTTAATGGCTTTATCATAGTCCACGTGGAATCATCATTGTGGGATCCTATCATCTTTTTGAAGATTTCAAAGTCAAGTTAGGCGTGGCCATGGTTCCCTGCAGACATTTTTAATTTTATTCATTCTTTCATTTATTTATTTATTTATTTATTTATTTATTTATTTATTTATTTATTTATTTATTTATTTATTTATTTATTTATTATTTATTTAATTTATTTGTGCCTCCTCTGTGGTTTGGAGTAATCACAGTGTGATAAATGTCTGTCTCTTGGAACCATGAATGTTCTTCCCTAGAAGAGAAAATCTTCACAACAATTTCTCCCCACCATTTGTCTTGCCAAACTTTTCCAAACTGATCTTTGCCGATGCTTTCTTGTGACATGATGGTCCTGGCAATTCTTCTCTGAACAAGCAGCAGTAAACCTTTTGTTCCAGCTATGGGCATCACTGCAGTGACCAACAGGATGAGAAGGAGCCAGCAACTCGGAGCAGCAGCTTTTGCCTCCAGGGTCCCACAACGGTTTGTGGTTCAGCCCAGGCCGAAGTTTCTCCCAAGTCTCCTAGGGATCCTCCTGCCTCTGCCTCCTTCAGTAAATCCAACCAGTGTCCTTCACCACAACTGGTTGAGGGTAGCTTGGGCCTGAGCTGGGGCCCACAAGGCCACAGGCAAGCAGTTTTTTTCATGAATTTGTACCAGGAACATTGGGCGCCAGATGTAGCAGAAATCTTATAAGGTCTTATTAATTAAATCAAAACTGAGGCCAGTTATTGAGGTGAACACTGGAAGATCAAAGAGACAGAACAAGCCACAGCTAACCTCACCTGGCCAACTTCTCAGCTGATCTTGTTTCCTCAGACTGGAAGCCTCTGTGTCCTCATATCCCAGTGGCTCTCAGCTGAACTGTGCTGCTTAAAACCTAAAAGCTTAACCAGCCAAATGCTTCTAGTTTCTGGTCTTCACGCCTTATATACCTTTCTGCTTTCTACCACCACTCTCTGGGACTGAAAGACTCACTTTCTGGGATTAAAGGTGTGTGTCACCATGCCTGGCCGGTTCAATGTGGCCTTGAACTCACAGAGATCCAGAGGGATTTCTACCTCTGGAGTGCTAGGATTAAAGGTGTGAGTGCTACCATTTTCTAGCCTTAGTATCTAGTGGCTGTTCTGTCTCTGACCCCAGATAAGTTTGTTATGGTGTACAATGTTTTGGAGAATACAATACCACCACAGCTTGCAATGTGAAGAGGAGGTTCTTCCAGTCTTGGAAAGCCTTTGATTGTGTGAGGGACGTTCCACGGTTAGGAGAACCTCAAGACCAAGATTTCTTTCTGTGCCTAACACAAGCTTTCCTGTCCCCCTCATTTTCATTTTATGACCTCCATGACCTACAAGGAACACCCAGGGCTTTCAACTATGCTCCCATTCTTATTCTCCAAATTGGAGGAGAATATTCCCCACAGATGGGCACTAGACCTCTGCTCCCAGGTCTGCTCCTGCCTCAGTTCTGACTCCATGTGATGGGAAGAGTGGGTGGAGAAGGTGCCTGGGAGCCCTGTCCTGAGTCAGGGTGAAACAAGAAACTGACAGTTGATGATGCTCTTTTGTTTACTCTTCTCAAGCTTCAAAAAAACAAATAGCAGCCAGGCAGTAGTGGCACACACCTTTAATCCCAGCACTCAGGAGGCAGAGGCAGACAGATCTCTGTGAGTTTAAGGCCAGCCTGGTCTACAGAGCAAGATCCAGGAAAGGTACAAAGCTACACAGAGAAACCCTGTCCCGAAAAACCAAAACAACAACAACAACAACAAACCAAAAACCAAATAGCTGAGTGTGGTGTCACACATCTTTAATGCTAGCACTGAGGATGGAGAGGCATGTAGATAGTATGTGTAGGAGGAGAGCTTGGTCTACATAGCAAGTTCCAAGCAAGCTAGAACTATACACTGAGACCCTGTCTCAAACAACATCAATACTGAGCATTAGAGTGGCAGGCTGTGGTCAGCACTGTGATTATTCACTTCTTCTCTGTAGTATTTAATCCATATCCATGGGGCAGGAAATACATTTTTTTTCTACAAACAGAAATCCTTCAGTTAGGGATTTCTCCCAGTCCTGAGGTATAGACTTTAACACCTTTAAGATTAGCTGGGCAATCTTAACCCCATGACAAATTATTTAATTAAATATAAACAGTAGGCTATTTCATAAAAGAAGGACCTGACTGTTCACAGAAAGTGTGAGCAAGAATCCCCACAAAAATCTTTCGGAAATACAGTCCTCACAACCATGAGATATCTGGACTTTTGGGCTGAAGAGGCTCCCAGTGTGGAATCTACACAAATACCCTGAGTCAGGGTCACTGTGAGTGATCTTGGTAGGAGTAAGTTTCAGCTCTCTCCCTACAGACCTTATCTTGAACCCAAACATGCAATCTTGCAGAGTGCCCCTTCATTCTATGGACTCTCACCTGGTCCCTCCACTATTTATCCACAGATCCAGTGACTCCATCCTCCATCCAAGTCACCAACAACACAGTCAAAGATATGATCTCTGTGTTCCTGAACTGCTTGTCAAACAACACTGGGATCTCAATCCATTGGCTCTTCAAAGGCCAGAGTGTGGAGCTCACAGACAGGATGAAGCTGTCCCACAACAACCGAACCCTCCAAATAGACTCTGTGAGGATTGAGGATTCTGGGGACTATCAGTGTGAAGTATCCAATCAAGTCAGTTCCACGAGGAGTGACCCCATCCAGCTGGACGTAATAGGTGAGTGAACTCTGTTCCCCTCTTACTCCATAGTGTTTGGGGTTATGGCCAGTTTCTTTATCAACTGACTGCAGAATGGGTCAAAGTCACAAGAAGAAAAATATTGTTCAGGAAACAAATACAGCCAGGTTGGTGAAGGATGCATGTTAATCACATGATACAACACCAAGCAAGGAGAGCACAGTGCTGCATGCCTTTAACCCCAGCACAGCAGAGGCAGAGACAATTGGATCTCTATGAGTTCCCAATCACCCTGGTTTTGTAGCCAGTTTTAGGTTAGCTAGAGCTACATAGTGAGACCCTGTCTCAAAGAGAGAGAGCATGAAGCAGAAACATAGAATTACAAGGCCAGCTCAGATTACATTGTGAGACCCGGTCAATATTAACAACAATAGATGTCAATATAGCAAATGGAAATGCAAAGTGATTAAGAGTTTAGGGTCTGAGTCTGTCACACAGTCAACCCTCAGAAACTAGTAAAATATTCATGTTACTCTACACTTCTTTTGACACATTCAGATCTTCTTTAGATTATTTCCAATGCCTAATATGAATATTGCATAGACACTAGTCTTATTTTGTTGAGTACAGACACAGATAGGAGGAAACAATATACTTTTCACTGTAGAGATACTTTTCAAGTAGTTTGTTTCCAATGTTTCGATCCATAAATATAAAATCCATAGATAGAAAGGACCTGTAATGAGTTTCTTACTACATTTGCATATCTGTTTATTTTGTGTTCATGTTCCACACCCATGAGTGGAGGTCAGTGGACAATTTGTGGGAGCCAGTTCAATCCAAGGACAGGGGATTGAACTCAGGTTGTTTCACCAGCCCTTTATCTGCTAAGCCAATTCCCTGGCCCACATTTGTTTGTGCATTTATCTCTATGTGGCAGTTAGGGGCAGGTACTGGGAGGGAGTATGGCAGGCACTCATCTCAACTGAGCCATCTTGGTGGCCCATGTACTGAGTTTCTTATCCTCATGCTGACAATTGAAGCATGACATCACTGCACAAAATGCTTTTTTCTAAGAACTGTTTTTTTTGGTGTGTAATATATATATATATATATATATATATATATATATATATATATATATATATATATATATATATGGTTTATAGGACTGGAGTGATAGTTCAATAGTTAAGAGCCATGGCAGCTCTTCCAAAGGACATGGGTTCAATTCCCAGCACCCACATGGCAACTTATTACTATCTGTAACTGAAGTTCCAAGGAATTCAACACCCTCTTCTGTCCTCCTCAGGTACCATTCATGCATCTTCTGCAGAGACATATATGCAGCGAAAAGGCCCATGTGATGCATCTGTCATCATAACAAAGACACCATTTGAAATCCAGATTCAAGATTCTTTCATCCTGTCTCCTAAAAGTCTGATTACTTTCAGCTCTGATCTTTGATCCATGTAGCGCTGATTTGTATATGTTGTTAGGTGAAGGCTTAACTTCATTCTTTTACCTGGATATCCAATTTTCCCAACATCCCTTGTTTAACTGATTATTCGTTCATCATTGAACAATCTTAGCAGCCTGATCAAAACTCATCTGGTTACAGAGGGTCATATGGATTACAAGAATGCCTTCCAAATTCTGTAACTCAATAGGACAACTCTGTTTTACACCAATAAATTCAAAAGAGCCAGCAGAAAT